TTTTTAAAACTTTCAATCTTGTTAGAGCATAATTTATTCTAAAGGTGCTGAAAAGTTTGAGTTTCTACTTACCTTAATCTGGAAGATGCGAACTTTTAAATAAGGGAGCGCAGTGTAGTAAAAGCATTCATTCTGAGCCTGATGTTGACTAAGCTGGAAAAACTAAGGATTTGTGGTCATTTTTATGAAATCTTCGATATCTGGAGGATTGCGTGTCCTCTAAAGCAGGTCAAACCTTTAAGTTCCTACTTGCTTTCGTGTTGAATTAAAGAAGACAGGGCAGTTTATTAAAAAATCCATTTTGAGCCCGATGAATCAGCTGGTAAAACTCCGCATTTTAGGAGATTTTTATAAAACTGTCAGCTTCTTTAAAGGTGAATATCTTCTAAAGACGAGTAAAAGTTGAAATTGCTACTTCCTTCATTCTGGAATAATTTTAAATGAAAACAGGTGAGAACAACAACCATTTTAAGACCTGACTAGAGTTGTTGAGTTTTATGAACATTTCAGTATGAGTTGAATAATAGCTTGCGTTAATCTAGAAAATGCGAGTTTTGAAAAGAGGACGAACCAAAAATTTCTCAAGCCTGTCCATTCTGGACAGATTTCCACGATGTTTTCAGTTACTAAGGGGCAGCGACTGGCTGTTGGTGTCGATAGACGGATTTGTTTTTAATTGCTAAAGAAGAGCGAAAAATCGCTCAAGCCTACCCAGAACATCACTCGAAAGAGAAAATCTGCGAATGATTAAAACAAAGGAAAAACCAAAAATGTATTAAGCTTGTCCATAACATCACTCGAAAGATAAAATTTGCGGCTTTATATGAGGAAAACCTCATTTGAATAGGAAATTTGTGGAAGTTTTCAGAATTTTTTAAAATACTAAATCGAAGCAATTGGTTTTTGGACAACACGGATTTTTCAAAAATTCGCCAAGAAAAAACGAAAAATTCCTGAATGGTCTTCATAATATCACTCGAAAGAGAAAATCGGCTACTTCAAGTGAGGAAAATCCCACATTAATGGAAAATTTGTGGGAGTTTCCAGGATGTTTTCAGATACTAAGGGGAAGCGATTGGCCGTAGGTATAGATAGACGGATTTAAATAAAAATTGTCAAGGAAAAATCAAAAATGTCTCAAGCCTGTCCAGAATATCAATCGAAAGAGAAAATTTGCGAATGATTAAAACAAAGGAAAAACCAAAAATGTATTAAGCTTGTCCATAACATCACTCGAAAGGTAAAATTTGCGAGTGAGAAAAAAAATGATGAAATCTTCACTTGAATTTTTGGGAGTTTTCAGGATTTTTTCAGATACTGAATCGAAGCAATTGTCGTTGGGCAACATCAATTTTTGCTAAATTCGCCATGATAAAACCAAATATCCCTCAATGTGGACCATAGTATAACTCCAAAGCGAAAATCCGCTGCTTTATGTCAGGAAAACCCCACTTTAATACAAGGTTTCTGGGAGTTTCAAGGATTTTTTCAGTTGCGAAGAGATAGATTAATATAATGTGACCATCTGTTTTTTTGATTTTTTCACTTTTCTAATTGCCAGTGTCTCCAATAACAGTATGAGCGTAATGAAAGCAAATCCATGGAAAATACGACTTCTCAAGCTAACTCACAAAGAGCACTGAAAAATCGCGTTCTATATGGACGCTTGCTCGGACTCGTTCGCATCGCTTGGCCAATCAGTTCAGATTGCTAGTTGTTTAAGTTGGAAATATGCACTTTTTTCCGGAAATCGGATGCATGAGACTTGATATTTAGCATAATGAGGTTGCTTATATTTCAAGCGCCAGCTGAAGACATTCTTGCTTCGAATTGCACCTGAAACGGCTTTGGGCAAACTGCGGTTCTTCAGAAGGAGCCATCATAATCTTCTGTACTAACCAAAGCGAAAGAACATCAACAGGAAGTCTAATAAAGAAACTGCTGACTGACCTGTGGGCTCTTTTAATGGCTTCTGGCTCCAAACCAATCTAATGCGATTAATCAAATACACGATGATCCATTAATTCCGCACACCATTTAATGGTGTTCTGATGTTTCGTAATCGCACATTCTAGATACAAGTGGAACAGATAAATCATTAGTTAAGTGTCCGGTTGCTTCAATTTCGCCACGAATTGATCTGGCAGCTTTGGAATTGAAGAATGAAGAAAGTGCTTGTTGGGCTGGATTTGCATTAAGTAAGTATGATTTTTCGGGCTTTGACTAGCCAACAAGCAAAAGTTATGCAGATGAAGAAGCTGGAAGTAATGAGCGTCTTATCGTAAAGATTCCATCATAATGGCGCGCTCCATATAAATTTATTATGATTATTATTATGCAGCTGGGCGGTAAATGCGACCGGTTCAAAAGCAGGAAACATTGCGAACGCGTGCTTTTCACTTTCGTTTGAATATGTGAAGGAAAGTGGCCGACCGCGCCTTCTTCATATCATTAAAAAAAATGATAAATCGGTTGGTTGGAATAGAGAGCAAAGCAAATCGTTCAATAGGCGGATGAAGGTTATTTGAATCACCAATTTGGGGTTTTTCAATCATCACTGGGGATTTTGGATGGTTTTTCCAACTTCTGCATAAGGTTAATAAAAAGCATCCTGGGCATGATGGGCAATTAATTTACCATAAACTGGCAATTGGTTGAGCAAGGTTTTTTCAGTTTTATCTGAGATTTTTCTGAATTTAACGGTGTTTTTGCTGGAATGTGTGTTGAAGATCATGATTGGGAACATATCTGAGGACTGGACGAGATGGAAAATTGTCCTACGCGTCAATCAATTGCGATAACCTGTTTTACATACTCTGAAAGTTGCTATTTTTTGCTAAATCAGGGATTTTTTAAGTAGTTTAAGTTAGAACGAATTTGCAATGAATGAATTAATTACGTTTGCAAGACCTTCTTT